AGTCTTTTGGTGCTTGCTTCTTTCCCTCTCTTTCCTCCCTCTCAAGCCTCTCTCTCTCTCTCTCTCTCTCTCTCTCTCCCTTTTTGAGACAGGGTCTTATTCTGTCACTCAGGCTGGAGCATAGTGGCGCGATCATGGCTTACTGTTCAATCAGTCCTCTGGCCTCGCCTCTGAGGAGCTGGGACTGTACGCATGAGCCACTACGCCCGGCTACCTTTTGTATTTTCTGTAGAGACAGGGCTTCACTATGTTGCCCAGGCTGGTTTCAAACTCCTGGGCTCAAGCGAGCTTCCTGCCTCGGCCTTTCAAAGTGCTGGGATTACGGTGAACCACAATGCACCCGACCCTCTCTCTCTTTATTGATACATAATATTTTACATATTTTGGGGGTACATGTGATATTTTGTTACATGCATAGAAAGAGTAATGATCAAGTCAGGGTATTTGGAGCATCCATCACCTTAAGTATGGGTTGATCCCAGCACTCATATGAAGAACGTGCGGGTCTTGAAGATGCCTGCCCAAGTTCTAGGGGCACCAGATGGAATCCCCTCACTCAAGGCTGCCACCAGATGGGAGGGAGCTTGGAGCCCAATGATGGGCACTGATTTTGGGGGCACAGCTTGTCTGGGGCTCACATGGGAATTTTGAGCAGAGGAAAAATATGTTTGGGAAGCAGAAGGAAGATTTCCCAGGCAGAAACCTGCAAGCCCCTTTACACATTCATTCAAATGCCATGTTGTGCACTTGCTGTGTACTCAGTGGGGATGCTCTCGATGCTGAGGGTACATCCCTGAGCATGATAGGCATAGGCTGTGCCTTAGGTGCGTTTGTGGTCAGTTCAAGGGAAAGCTGGTGTGGAAGCGGCTCTTTCTTTTCACCTGGATGATATTCGGATCACATTGAGGGGAAGCTCTCAGGTTGGTGAAGATGATAGTGTTTCTGCACATTAGAGATTTTAGCACGCCTAGGGATGCTGTCATGCTTGCTGACACCAACTCAGGGACATGGCAGAGAGACTCTAGGATGGCCCCCAATTATTCATCTGCTGGTGGCCACACCCCTGTGTAATCCCTTCCCCTTTTGTGTAGGTAAGACTTGCTTCTGACCAACAGGATATAGCAAAGTAGATGGAATGTGGCTTTTGTGATAACACTGTACAGACTTGTAGCTTGTGTCTTGCTAGCACACTCACTGCATAGACTCTTTCCCTTGCTGGCTCTGATAAAGGAAGCTGCTCTATAAAGAGGCCCAAGGGGAAGCAATCAAGGGTGGCCTCCAGCCTCCAGCCAGCAAGGAACTTGGGCCATCAGTCTGACAATCTGCAAGTAATTGAATCTTGCCAGCAACCATAAGAGTGTGGAAGCAGATCCTTCTCCAGTCGAGCCTCAGATGAGACCACAGACCTGGCTGACATCCTTGACTGACAGAGACCTCAGTTGAACTGAGCCTGGATTCCTGACTCACAGAAATTGTGAGCTAGTCAGTCAATGCAAATTGTTGTAAGTCATCAAATTTGTGGTAACTCATCATCAGCAATAGAAAACAGGACTGGAAACCTCACTGAAAACTCCAAAAAGGTCCACCTGGCTGCCTCTTGCTCTTCCCTCTTTTGGGACCATTTCAGTGCTCTGCTTGGTGGTTTTCTGCTCAGGCAATGTGAGTGATCTGAAAAGGAGGAAGGTGACATTGTTGGTCAGGTCATCTGCAAACCTCCTCAACACAGCAGTGCTTATATTTCTGTGGCTCTTTGTGCTTTTCTGAATGCTTTGAATTCTTTTGAAAAAGAATTATTTTACTATTGCCCCCACATAGTTCAGGGAAGTTAAGTGATCAGTGCAGGTTCACATAACTAAGTAATGACACAGGTGGGATCTGAACCTGGGTCTCAGGAGGCTCTGGTCCCTGGCCAGACTCTGTGACCACGTACATCCACCAGGTTTCTGTTCATGGGTTAGTGTGTAACACGAACATTCCATGATGGCTGCAGCCTCCATCCCAGGGGCACTTAGAGAAGCCATTCCACTCAGCCCACTTTACCAGAGGAACCCTTGGGAGGGAAAGGGGAATCCTGATTCTGCGACCACGTGCTCCCATGAGGTCTGATTGTTAGCCAGTGCTGATCTGTGGCTGCCAGCAAGGAAGCCTTATAGTCTCATTGTGCCAGACTGGCCTGGCAGAAAGATTAGACAACAATCTTTACTTTGCCATTAGCCCTGCCTGGCACTCAGTATGGTAGTGCCTTGCCTTCAGGGGCACTGGTAGCAGTGTCTCTAATGCAGGGTGGCCCCTGCCAAGGGCACAGGTGTTCAGAAATGTTCCATGAACAAATCAAATCAAGCAATGAAATGAAATCTAAGGAACTCAATCATGGCAAGCCTGAGACGGCACGATAAGTGTTATCGAGCTGGTCTGATAGGCATTGGGGCAGCTGGTCCCCTAGGAGCTTTCAATCAAGGCCTCACCCCAGGGACACAATCTTCCAACAACAAAGAGAACATTGTGTTTTCCACTCCTCAGTCCCAGACCTGGGCTGCTTGTCCAGAGATGTATGCAGGTTTTAAAAGTTAAATTTATGATAACTTTTTTGGCTCAAGTATAGAAGTAATATATGATCTTTGTAGATTATTTATAGGTAAATAACAATTTTAAAATGACTCATAACCCCACTACCCAGAACTAACCACCATTAGTGTGCTAAATGAATATATTGATTTACTTACAAATATGGGAGCTTAAGATATGGCACACATTGTTTTGCAATCAACCCGCTGTTACGGGCCCAACTTGCTTTCCCTGCTCTATTTTATCTGCAATCCAAACCTGTTTTTAAAAGAAAAATTGTAGTCCTGTATTTTCCAAGTGATTTTTTTTTTATAAATCTA